TTGATAAGAACAAACTTGTGGTGAGTAACTCTTTTCTGCATTTTAAAACCATGATTGTTTCTTCTTGTTTTTCTCCCGCTCTTTTTTTTTTTGTACTGATGGTTTTTGTTCTGTGTTCATCTTACTGACAGAACTCCAGCCAGTCCAGTCTGGACGATAGCTTCGACCAATTCAATGGCTCCAAGTCTCAGACTTTACAAGAGGACCACCCTCTGCATAGACTGCATACAGGTGAAAATTCAGCACCACCTCTAAGCATTGAGCTGTCTTTTGTTTTTTTTTTGTTTTTGTTTTTTAATGCATTATTGTTGTTACTTGTTAGTAACTTGTAGCGTTTCTTAAAAGATTAACTTGAAAATGCTGCAAGACCTCAGCTGACAGTGCTACGTGTTGATAGCGTTATCTACTCTTCTCCTATCAGACCTTGAACTTTGCACGTTTACCATCTCGATCAGAAACAAGTCTAACTTCCCCCCCTCTCTTGCTTCTCCTGCTTACAGAGGCAGTGCCTAATGTAAATGGTTCCTCTCTGAAGAGCCTACATATGCAGCAGAGTGAAAGTTCATCTACAGAAGAGCTGTCTGTGTCAGGTAACCAACACATGGCCAGTTAACACTAGTTACTGGCATTAGTTTTGCCTATGCTGGTAGGATATGGAAAACTGTGCATAAATATCGAAGGCCTGAAATTATAATATCACAACTGCTTGCAACGGACCTTAAAATCTTGGTGTTGTTATTGGTGTTAAATTATTATATTATGTTTTAGGTGGATCATGGGTGTGGAATGTGACTGAAAAAGCCAAGTCCTTGGTGGTTCAGAGAGAGGCCAGCAACCTCAACACTCTGCTCTTCATTTACTTGATTTTGTGAGTAGATCCTTCTCTCCCAGCTGTCTTTATCCTCATGACTTTATCTGAACTTGCATTTCACTCCCAAATTCTCAATTTGAGGGGCGAAAAAGTAAAAAGTGGTTCTAAAGCAGATAATCTTGTAGAATATACCAACAAAAGTAACTTGTCAACTATTTATGTGATTTATTAGTTTGTTAAATGGGACAATTGTTAAGAAACAAAAATTTCAGTCTGTTTTTAATAATATTACATATTTTATAAAAATGCATTAGCTCTAGCATCACTTTGGAATTGGCTATTTAGTCTGTTTTGTTTGAGCAGCTGTTGGTTGAATTATGGAAAGGTCTGCATTTGATTCTTTGACACCCAGGCAGTGAATCTGACTTATATTATATGTTGTAGGGTGGTGCTGCTGCTGCTGTCTTCGGGCTACATCGGTTTACGTATCGTGGCCCTGGAGGAACAGCTGACGTCCCTGGGCGCTCTGCCTGAATTCAACTTGCAGAGCAGGTAAAATGTCCTTGATTTTTTTTTTTTTTTTAATCTTGTGTGTTGGCATGTTTGCAGAGAGAAGAGGGCTGCAGCTTGACACAGGAGATGAGAGAGAGAAAAATTTGCATAGTTTTTTCCTGCTCATTTGGCTCCGATCCTGTAGACGAGAGGAAGAAAGGGTGGAAACATGTATTATAATCTAGGAAAATCTGACTTATCCTGGGCCACTGCCTGTTTAGTCAGATGTTGTGAGTGTCTTTATGTATAGAAATTTATGTGTGATCTTCAGCCAAGCGTTTGCAAAAGTACAGATCATGACTGAAAACCTTAGTACATCAGATCAGAATAGATGTTTTATCAGAGGTGATCACTCAGAAGCGCGGTTTCCACTGACTGTTTCTTTTGAGGGGACCAGTGGACCCGAACCCGTATAAAGTAGTTGCATTCAATTACCCTGAAACATGCTGCTGATCTGCTTGAAGGACAATAATGCTCCCATCTTTACATTTATTAATAATTCCAAACTGTTTGCAGAGGGAGTGTTGGGAATTCAGTCATCTACATTTTGATCACGAGTTTGCTCGAAGGAAGACTAAGTTAATATTGCAGCCGAGCAAACAAATGTAATTCCAGGAGTAGGTGTAGCTTAACGCACTGTTTCTTTCTTTTCACAGGTACCAACAAGACACATAACAATCAGCAACTTAAGGAGAGATTGGTTGACTCATGATCGGAAGATAATTTCTGCCTCTTCCCAGCAGAACCAGCCAGGGAACTTTAACGTACTCAGACTTTGGTCTCGATGTGGCCTGCACAAAAGAAGAGTGGCCAACATGTGCAATTTCAGACACAACTTGTTGACTTGAAGGGCTATATTTCCTCCAAGTGCAGTAAACAACACAGCAAAACAAAAGGACATGCTGCGACCCAGTCACATAGAGCCGAGCCAAAAACATGTACACGCACTGCCTGGTTGCAGTGTCTGTTTGAACCAAAGCCAAACGACTCTTAGTGAGGTGCCACATTAGTCAAGTCGATAGGCACGCTTCTGGCAGCAACTGTTCCACATCTGTGAATTTACGTTGTCCTCTTCTTTCTGAGCATGCATTCTTGAACAGGGCTTAAAGCATTAGCCTGCTGTAGTGCCGATGATTGCACCTCACCTCTCTCGACGTAGTGCTATGCATAGCCAAAGATGCACACGTCTTTTGCATGAGTGATGATGGAATGATGTTTTTGTCTGTTATTTAGCCCTCAATCAGCAGTGGTGTCTAAACGCCTTTTAAATCCAGTCACTTTCGGGTACTTCTCTTCAAATGGTTCTTATATTCTGAATCGGCGGTGGGTTGAAATGATGATGGCTAAGATCCAAACTTCAGATCAGCCCGCAGAGGCTCGATACTTTCCTGATGGTCTTGTCCTTTCTCTCTCTCTCTCTCTGTCCAAGCAGAAATGATTGCAGTATTACTTCTTGAGTTTGGCAGGATTTAAACCTGTTTAATGATCATTGCTCAGAAGTGATTTTTTTTTTCCCTCCCAGTCTCTACTGGATGAATGCATCAACAATGCACAAAATACACAAGAATATTAGGAAGCTGTATTAGGTAAAGAAATGTTTTTGAGTACAGCTTTTCGCTGACTTTGGTCTTCAAGAGTAGCAATCAAACCTGTCTTTTTGATGTCAACTGCAAACCTCTCTCTATGACAGGCCTGTTGGGGACCAAGGTGGCATTTCTTCAGGTTATTTAAAGTAGCACCAATAACATATTTCTAATGTAGGTGTCTGGGGAAAAACGGGCACTTGACTGATTCTGTGTACTCTTTGTCACCTGAAGAGGATTTTTTTTTTTTTCTTAAATAACCACACTTGCTGCAAGGTCCGAGATTATCATAAGTAAAACAAGTGGTCCCAAAAAGAAATTTCAATATGCAACGAATTGTTTTGCATGATGACAAAATGTAATTTCTGTGAGCAGTTTGTTTGTTTTGTCTTTTAAATGGAACTTGATGTTCGTGGGTTCGTGGAAATTGAGTGAAAGAATCGTCTCGAGGGAGCAAGCGCACTTTAAAAACTTGTGGTGTGCCTGTCACAATCCAAGACGCTGTTTGGATTGAGAAGAAATGGCAAAAGTGGTGTTCTGTGGTAACTAAAGGTGCTTAGACCTTATTTTAAACAACAAAAAAGATTTCACTCAGGGGTGGTGGGGCACTACCCACCATGTGGTTTTAGGTTGTCAACTTTTCCGCTCATTTCAAAGTCTTGTTCTCATGGTGGGGTTCACATTCTATCCTCTGTGGTTCCTCCAGTGTTCCTTAAAGAAAGAACACTGTTTCATTGAGTTTGCTCAACTTTACCAATTGATAAAACTGTTTGCTTTCTGGCTGTTGGTTTTTTGTTAGTTTGTTTTTTTCCCCCCTTTTGTACGACCTGTTTAAACTAACAATGCATATCCATCTCAGTGATTTAGCATCACCTTTATGGAAGCTCTCAGGAGAGTCCTTTTGTGATGTTCAGTTAAGGTTACTCTCATAATGCCACATACAGTACTGTCAGTTCTTACACCCCCCTCCCCCCTCCCCCACCTGGGGGCAGCACACACACGCAAGTACTGTCCTCAAAAAGACTCCTTTAATTCAGTGAGGAGGGTAGTAGTTGTGAGGTTTTGCACTATTACAAGTGTTGTAAATAATTTTGTATCATTTGTTAACGCCCTTAATTCTATTATTGTCCCATATTTATTTGCATTCTGTGTAATTCAAAGTAGTCTCTGTGAGATGACTTTGCTATTGTTCAAAATAAATCAAATGTTTCAGTAAATAATATCTTGTGCTCTGTTATATTTTTCCTTTTTTTATTTTGATAAATTGGACGTGGTAAACAGATGGAAAACATGAAGTCTGGGAGTGGCAGGTAACTTGGATACTATCCAATCTAAATAACTACACGCCTTTTAAACCCATTTCCAATTCATGCCAGTGTTTGCTGAGAAATTTCTAAACCCACGGCCGCCTCCTTGGGATTTACTAGCACGCACAAAGCCATTGAAAATCAGGTATGAGTTGTAACTGGAAGTCATGGGAAAAACACATTCTTCAGTGTTGTATGCAGGAACTTCATGGTTGAGTCTTTAGCGTTTAATGTGCACTAAGACTTACAATAATTATTGTCTCTTGGTATAATCTGATACTGATATAAAGGTATTCCCAGCAGTATCAACAATTAACGCTTACTTTATATGTTGATGACTTGTATCTATATAGTTGGTAAATATTAATAGTCAGATGAACAGGCAGAATCAAGACTTAATGAAACCTCATAGATGATTTAAAGCCCGAGTTGCATAACTTAAGGAAAAGACTCCTCTTGAGCAGAGCGCTTACATACCTCCTGTTTGTGGCATTAGAGCGCCATCTAGTGGACAATCCGTCACACAACCTTTAAACGACATTCATTTTAAGAGTTTGACTTTCTGGTTAAATAAAGTGTTAAAAACCAACTGGAATATTATTTTTCAATTGGTTTTAAATCAATAATTCACACAGTTACAGTTTATGTATCTACATTAAAGTAAAAGCAGTGGTGTACTAGCACGTGCTGTCAAATATATATTACAGGGAAACCAGAAAGAAAGGAATCTATATTCATTTATTCCATCCTAGGTACTCAAAAGCAGCAACAGTCTGCAAGCGGAGCAGTGCGTTAGTGCTGTTCAGCTCTCCGGGTTATTGGAGGGAGCAGGTTCTGCAGTGGTCCGCTGGTAGGCACAGAGTTGGAACACGCCTAAAAGGAAATGATATGTAGATAAGTATTAAAATACCTTCTTAAAAACGATGGCTCTCAAACAATGAAAGCTCATTAGAAGGACAGAGTAGCCATGAGTAATTGTTACTAAGGCAGGAAATGCCAAGAAGCTGCTTAGTCCACCTAAATGTGTCCAGAAAATGCCCTTTTGTCATTTTATCATCAAGTTTGATATTTGACAAAAGCCTCACACTGAGGCTCTGGTTTTATTACTTATTAGAAAAATAATAAAATATTTAAAAAATAATAATAAAGCATGTTGCTTGTGATTCACTCACATTAAACATGACTCCTACAATAAGAAATAAATACAATTCAAACCTGCTGCAAAGGCCAAAATAATGGCAACCCAGCCTATGATGTAGGACCAGGAAAAGCGCCAGTCCAAGAAGCGTTTGCCAAAGAAGGTAACAGTCACACCAGTGTAAATTGCCAAAGCCAGCAGAGCGAGAAAACCTGAGAACAGAGGAGACAGAAAAAATCCACTGGGTAAAACATGAAGACATATTTCTTTGAGACCTGTATGTTGCCCCCAAAATATGAAAAAAAAATCAACACAAGACATTTAGTTAATTAGTTTGCATTCAGGACTTGAATGTATAATTGCTTCTGGAATCTTTTACATGATGGGAAGAGTTCCAAAAATAAAACCCAAGACAGAGGGCTGGCATCAGGCTGCCCCCTATCACCCCCAACTGGTCGTGTGACTGTTGGTGTGATTATTGAGTGTAAATAAAACTGTATTGAAATTTGTATTTTCTGATCTGCTCACTCTTGGTTTACCTGACAGGACCAGGGCGATGCCACCTGTGCGCACTCTCCTGTTCTTGGTGCCGTTAGTGAAAGCGCTCAGTCCAAGCACCACGCCAGCAAAACAGCTCAGCACTGCCAGCAGCATGAAGGCCCGTGTGGCATCCCAGAAGGCTGGAAACAAAAAGGTCAGAACCATGTCCACATGCTGAATATACACTTACATTTGCACTGATTGTGCAGCTCGTGTTGCCTCACCAAGAAGTCACAAAACCTGCCATGAATTTGATTATTTGTGTAAAACACTTAAGAATCATCTGCTTAAAATATTTAACTGTAAATAAGAATTGTAGCCAGTTAACTTTTAGAAAAAGCACACAGTTGCAGTGTAGAGGTAGGTGGACAGTATCGCTAGCAACACTGATATTGATATTAGGTCGATACTAGCATAATATCCTCTAAGTTCAGTATGTAGCCCTTTAAACGTGCTAAACATTATTTTTTGAATAACTGAGGTACTGCAGTCTTTAAGCCTACATATAAACCATGTGCACTTGCTTTAGCTTTCTATGCTGTACTAATTTTTCTACTCACAACATAGTCTGCATGAATTCAGATACTTTTGTTACAGTTAAATTTATGAGTTTGTTACAAAAAATCTTGAGGTGGACCACTCACCTACAGTGATGGTGTGGGCGTGGCATTTGTGGTTGATGCAGAATCTCCAAAGCCCCTGATTGGCCGAGCTGCCAGAGTATCGATACTGCATCCAGAAGTCCGTCGCTGTAGAAACTATGAGAAGCACGAGGGCGGCCACGCCGCAGAGGGTGCCTCCTCCTGCTAAAGTATACAGCATTGTGGAGACGCCTGGCAAGAGACTGTCCTCCTAAACATTCAACAGCTGCTCGGGGAAGAGAGGACAGAGTTGGGGAAAATACAGAATTAAGAGTTTGTGCACAACACTTACATATTCATTTCCTGAAAGATCAGCTGCACACAGTCTTTGGATTTGTTTTTTCTCCTGTCGACCCTCGAGTCTTTTAGATGATCACATAAAAATGCACAAAGCTAAGCTCCTCATTAATTACAGAAACCCATTACCAAATCTACATCTAGTAAGACAGCAAAGAGCAAGTCCCTGCCACACATGCACGTGGCTTAGTTCTTATAACTGCAATAAAGGCAATCCAAAACTTGTTGCGAGTCAGAGGAGCTACCTCTTTCTGTTTAAAGCACGTTTTCCTTTTTAAATCTCGAGACATTATCTTGATGCATTTTGATGGAAAAGTTACATCTCGTATCACCACATCAGATAAATGTGCTTTTAATTTAATTCTAGAATTGGATATAGTCAGAAAAACACTTGACTCAAACTGCTGTATGACAAAAAGCTTGCCTAACAGGCAGTTCAGAGCCATTGTTCATCACTAATTCCCCTCCGTGCTCCACAAACTAATCTTCCACCACTGAGTAACTGAACCGTCAGCACTGCTGCTCTGTCAGCCAGCCAGTAAACCAGCAACTTCATGCACTGACTTTTCCCATACTTCTCGCCAAAAAATTTCCAAACATCCAAAGAAATTTTATACCTGAGTCCCATATATTTCTATTAAGTAACAGGAACCAACACTGGGGTCACAGGTCCAGTTTGTAAGCTGTACAGATCCTTTCTCAGTTAAAATAAATAAATATATAAATAAAAATCACCAATCTTGACACCTCATGTCTTCTATATCTTTGTAGGTTTTCCTCTTCAAAAGCAATTTTGTCCTTTTCCCTTTAAGGCCTCAAAGACTAATATTTTCCTGGCAAATACACTCAGTTACGTTCTTTTACACTTGAACATTTTTAAACTGATACCTCTGGTTTTGGCTGGTCGCTCTCCAGGTTTGTTGGCTGTGACAGTGCGCGTATCCTTTTTAAGCCCCCGTACCTCTGGCCCTCATTGTCCACTGCACAAAAGAGGGAATGATCGAGCGCAGCATGTGAGTGATGCTAAATCCCCCTCTTGCTCTCTTCTCTGCAGTTACCTCCATCCTTTTATCACCCCAGTGCATCTCTGAACTCTTGCACTTGATTTTTCTCTATGTGCTGTATGACTTCCTATCATTTTTTTTCTCAAACTTTTTCCTAGAAAATACTGGCTCAGATTTGGCAAGCTGTGAAAATGTATAAATTGCTTTTCTATCAAAGGCCAAAAACTGTATTACTGCCATGTAGCAATGGGAGTGTGCTGGGATAGGCAGTAGCAGACTTATGTTGGCAATTGCACAGAGGAAAAGGTGAACCCATGTGCGCCCTGCACTTGCACATAACTATGTTTGCTTTGCACCTACCTGTGTGCACAGGCTCTAAGATCATTTAAATCAGTGATGTACACTCACCAGTCAGTTTATTAGGTATAAGCTGACATGTCTGGACCCAACCCAGTATTAACAAGCTGTGCTAAACGAGCAGCCAGTGGGTGTGTGTGTGTGATTGATACAAAAAAAAAAAAAGATGAAACACATCAATTACTTCACTCGATATCTTTATTTTGTCAGTTTGTTTCAAAGTATTCCTTAAAAGAAGGTGTGTTAGACAGCCACTACTTTATTTTTTTAACAGTTTGAACCCTAATGACCCCTTGGCACTTGTCTTACTTGTGACACATTTGTGCATGTAACTATTACAGGTGGACAGTGACACGGAATATGCCATCAAGAGTCACAGATAAGGTAAAATGTAAAGCACAATACGATAATCCCACAAAGGTCAGTCGTTTTCTCAGCCTGTACCCTCGTCTCTGTCTCACACTTGCACCAGGCTGCTCAAAAAAGTGAAGCTAAAAGTTAAACAAGCCAATGACACTGGTGTTTCACACTGTGCAGTCCTGAAGCATCTCTTTAAAGTGCATCATTACCACTGATTTGACATTAGCCTGCTGATCCAAAATACAGAGACTCTCATGGTTGTCTGCATTTAGTGGACTCTATTGTAAAGTTCACTATAAATCCCTAAACCTTCTCTGGGACACGGGTTCTCGTGAATCCACATCTCTGATTTAAGACTTTTTTTTCTTGTCAAATTTATCGACCCACTGCAGGTAAACACTTCCATGCGCTCGAACCAGAGTTCCCAAGAAGAGGTTCCTAAAGCTTAACTCGACTTGTTCGGGTGCTGCCTGTAACTCACACCCAGTGGTACTCTTTTTTTGGAGCTTTCATGTAAGTGAATAAACTGTTGTATGCATATAAGTGATGCTGATGGGTGCAGTAACCTTGTTTGAACTTGCAGCTGACAAAAGGCATGTGATAAAATACCAAAATAAAGCTGCAAATTAAAAAAACAAATCTATCAATCCAGACATCCAAAAAACTACACAACAGTTACAAAAAAGGCACGTTATGATATGCATAACCAAATGTGGCTTCTCTCCAGAACATTAAATTCTGTCACTCCCTCCTGCAGAAATTATCAAAAGAGTTGCTGTGTTAAGATGCTAAATGTCACATTACACCAACCCTACTTCTTTGTTTACCTCCATGTTTTGAGTGTACTTGCTTGGGCAGTGTGACAGATGAGCTAAAATATAAAATAAGTATGCTCGCAGTCAAAGTAAAGTAAAGTGCTTTTTAAGATGGGCATTAGCGGCCATCTTTATACTCTGTATCACATTTGCCATTTAATCTTTGCTGAAATTATAAAAGTCACAAGCTGAAAGGTATCAAGCGAACACAGACATGTTCTATGTATATTTAGAAATTCAACCTCACATTTTTCCTTAAATTTGACTCAAACTGCAAAGCCATATACACTCAGATTTCCAGAAATTCATGGTTGCTTGAGCACACATTGGCACATACCCAAAGACATATATGGACATTCATATACACACATACGTAGAAAGTGTCCTCCTTAAAGTGACTGGCTTTTCTGGCTCAAAAGTGCACCTGTCACCCTACTGTACGCACACGTGCACTTATCTCTAAACATATAAACAACTTGACGTTTACGATATGCATGTTTTGCACACCAATACACCTCGGAGCTGGGGTGTATGTGGAAACTGTGCTCTTGTGCTCTTTCTCTAAATCTCACGGGCCTGGAGCCCAGAGGATGACGGTTCGATCCGCAGACGAGGAGACAAAGGTCCGATCGTGTGGGTGCCACCTACACTGGATCACCTTGTCCCAGTGCTCCCCTGCCACCGTCTGAGGGAGGGGCTTGGTTAGGTCACCTGGGTCAGAGAAGGGGGAAATATCACACAGGAGGAGCTTACAAACACAATTTTAAGCGCTTCAAAATTAGATTTTTCACTTCAAACAATGACTTATTTCAAGCTACCTTGAAGGTCGCTGATTATGATCCTGTTGTCATAGGAACCAGTGAGGAGATGATGGGCTCCCGGTGAGAAGCGCACAGAGCGTATGTCAGTGCTGTGGGGGCGGTACGTCTGCACTATGCGGCCTCCTCTAATGTCGTACAGCATGCAGGTGCTGTCCTCCTGACCGGTGGCGAGCAGGCGGCCGCTGGGATCCACTGCCACTGAAGCAACTGCACTTCCTGAGTAACGTACAGTGTGAAGAACGTCATGTTGTTGGATACAGCTTAAAAAGTATTTTGCTGACAGGAGCAGTTTCTGACACTCAAAGCCTTAAACGTTATCCAGGCATTTTGCATTTGCAAAGGGAAACTGTGACAAAATGTTTTACAGTTGTCATCAGCGAATACTACACCACAGTGATAAACACTTGTTTTATTATTTCAATTTACTGGAGTGCAGCGCTTGATTATGGTTTCATCAGCTGTTCATATTAAGAGTTTCATAAGAGACAGGCTGCTGACAAACTACAAACATGCAGGCAGCAGATATGCTCCTACTTTAGGTGTCCTTCATGTCGCTATCAGACAGGTAGGTGTTTGATAATGCGATATCAGTGGATTAATGTTATCACAAATAACCCAGACAGCAAACAAGATTTTATTGAACTGTTAATCATCATCTAAATGATTTTTTGCTGTAACTGGGTAGAACAGATAGCTGAGGTAATGCTAATGCTAGGAGAGCAATCAGGACAAAGAGAGGGCCGCAGCCTGGAAATAACAGCAATAACTGGATTTGCCACATTTAAGAGTAAAGGGCCATCGATAATGCATCTTTGCGGCTAACTTTGTCATCTTTTTGCTTAGATTTAAACAACAAAATATTACAAAACGAATGCAGACTCAGCTGAAAATACTACAAATAAGATAAAACTTTAACACTACCTGCAGCTAACATTTTTAAACATTTATTTTTAAATATAAACTGTATAAATATATAACTGTACTGGATGCATATTTCAATATATTTTTAAAAGTTACAGCGTTTAAAATATCATCCTAGCTACAGTGGCTGCTGTAGGGGAATGCACATTTATGCATGTTTCCATGTGTTAGAGCTCTCACTTCAGTTCATGACGAGGCCATAGATGAGGAGGAAGAGGATAAAGTGGAAATAGCAAATATATAGTGTGAAAGAGCTATTTGCGATTAACAACATATATGGTTGGTCTCTAGCCACATACATAAAAAACCAAGACCAGGCAGAGCAACAATGTCCATCTCATCCACTGTGTTCAAGATAGCTGGGCAACATGGCCAACATTTCAAAAAAACTGGTGCCTCCTCCCCATATTTCTATTTTTACTGGATTAGTTCAAAATTTCTGAGAATGTAATAAATGTATACTGATGTAATTACATACAAAATCATGTATATCTTAGTATATTATTTTTTTATATTAAATAACCTCAGAAAATAACTAACTGTAGTTTTCAAATATTTTTTGACTTGCCCATTTTAAATCATGCTTTTTATTTGTTTTTGTTTCTA